CCTGATATACATAAATAGATGGAACGCTTTTTTTAACAATTATCTGCATAATACGTATTTATATAGGAATCAAATAATTCCTTTTATTTCAAATTGCTCTATCTAATTCCTTTAACTGAATGTATTCAGCTAGTTATTTGCTGCCACATTATGTAGTCATCCATCCAAAGCAAAAGTTGTTTATTACACTACTTTTCTAATATCAGATCATATACTATTTCCTTATTAATGATTAATTAGCACGGATATTTGCTTTTTTGTATTAATAAGAATTTGAGTTTTGTATTTTGTTCAAATTTTGAGAATCCAAAGAATTAAAATCTAGCAGTAAAAAACTGGTATCTAGCCTTGATCACAGGGAATAGCAAGCTTATTTAAACTTTATGATAATATAAATAGGCATACAATAGATATAATAATGTAATTCATAAAAAGGCAGTTGATGCAAATTGAGAATATTAGCATGATTAAATCCTATATTTTACAGTGAAATTTATTAAGTAAATTCTTAAACTGAATAATCTATTTGTTTATTTTACCAAGTATGAAATAACTTCTCTTAAGAGAAAAATGATAAGGATCCTAATTTTCAAGCTAGAAGTGGCAGAATTTTTAGCTTGGCGGATAATTTTTACTAGCCTTAAGAAGTTCCAACTCGTCGAGATGCCTTTCAAAGCACCACTCATCCAAGTACCGTCGATTTCCAGATCTAATAATCTGTTTGATCAATCTGGAATGCAGCTGTTGAAATCGAGCAGATTCAGCGCCCAGGTCACCTGAAGCCTGAAACATTTCATTAAAAATGAATTTTATTTGGTCGTTAAACATTAGTGAGCCTTGACTGATCTATTATGAGTGTTGTATTTGTACCATAACTTACAACAGTGCGGATGTCGGCTCAATTATAAGAACTTGGATTAGTATGAAAAAAAGAAATCAAAATTCTTCTATGTATTTATCTAGATTTATATAGTTTAGTGTTTATTTGTGGATAAATATATATACATGTTATTTTTCTTGACCTGTTCTTAGCCTGAGACTAAAAATAATTTCTAACTCTGACGATATCTGTCATATGATGGTCGTAAGCATAGCTCGTTTTCAAGCAAAACGAGGGAGAATATTCAATAGCTTTTTTAAATACGAACGTCAAACTAAAACGAAACAACTGCAGAACGACGGGATCAACCATCGGCTTCTGGTGGCATCGACCTACAATTCTCTTCTTTCTGAATTATCGCGTGCATAAAAAGCTAGTTTAACTATTGTACGCCAAAATAATGTAAAGAATTCTGTAAGGATAAAACCCATGCCAACTGAATACGTCATACTGAGATCGACCGTGGCCAATGAAAAGGAAATTAAAAGTTATTGATGCCCTTGGACAGAACCGCATAATTCTAAACATGATTAAAAGAAAGATGAAATCACTGCGGTCTATTAAATAAATATTCTTTAAATAAAGCTTGGTTGTAGGTGTAACTGAGACGAATGAGACCTCGAAACTGCGGTCCAGGCTGAGTAATGACATTGGGAGGTTTATTCAATTCATTGTTGAAAATTTTAATTTCCGTTCTTATGATATCGTAAGCTGATTAAGTTCTTATACGAGTCCTTTACACAGTTTCGAAGCCTCCAAACACCTCATACTTTTTAGACTATCAAGCAATAGTGATAGTATACTGTTTCGGCTTTGTATATGATAATTCACATCTTGTGGAAGCAGGTAAAAATGAAATACTTAGCTTGATTATTTACGTTAAAACCGTCACATTTTAGGTCTGAACAATCTCACATCTATAACTTGATCTACCTCCATTATATCAGCAGAAAAGTGACACATCTTACATGGAAATCTGTATTCATTTCTTTTTCCGATAAAAGGTGTAGGGCAGCTGCGATTCCTGCCCGATAGACAGTCCTCCCTGGCTCTTCGTCATTATCATGTAGCTGCAATTTTGATGCATTTTTGCCAGAAGCCATCTCGAAGTGCACAATGCTGGAGCTGGAAGAGTCACGAGAACTAGCTCTGCCTGACCCGCAGGCAGAACAAGGACTCGCTCGAGGACTGGTTGTTCTAGAAGATGCTGATTGGCAGCGCTTTAGGATGCCACTTGGAGTTGACGGTCGTTCAGTGGCTTAATTCAACAAAGGTTAGAATAAAACTATTAAAAAAGTAATTTTAGACTTTCTAAAACTATTCGACACAAAAAAGGCCTATTTTTCAGTTTCTCACAAGCCGTTACTTCAAAAAGTCCATATATGGTATTGCTTTGGTTCTTATTGCTGTTGATAGCCACTTAAAGGTCAGCAAAACCTTAAGCAAATCTTTCTAAGGTATATATGTAGGTTGACCTCGTTGTCGCAACTTGGTCTCGTTGTCAGGGAGACTTAGTAGAACGCACTTAGTTCGAAGTCGTT